AGAAAGGATAGACTAGTCCTAGTCCTACTAGGACTCCATATGTAACCCGCCCCTTCAACATATATAAGGAGGGGCAGGGCTCCCCGAAGAGGGACAAAAAAATAATCTCTAGAGCTAGACACGAAGAGCCGGCTTACCGGCAACTCCCTCATGATCATAATGAGACCTAGCCACAAACAGCATGTAGGGTTATTACCGGATGATGTTTCCCGGGGCCTGAAGTTGTCTAAACCCTTGTCTTGTGTTGCGTCTCTCGATTCCGCCCAACCCCTCTCAAGCTACCACATAGATGCGTTGGCCTCGCGACTAAGTCCTCACACTAAGGACATCTGTTGTGACAATTCCACAACAGATCCGGTAGTCATTGTGGAATACGATGGATTCACTAACGTCTCTAAATATGCATTGGATATGTATCCTTTGTGGGCGAGGATCAAAGGCTTGCCGGATGGGCTCACAAGAAAGAGGGAGTTGGCGGAGAAGGTAGCCAAGAAGGTCGGAGAGCCGCCGTTTACGGTGGTAGTTAATGAGGGGAGGATTAACCCAGCTAGCCACTTAAGGGTGAGGGTTTTTGTGAATGTCCAGAAGCCATTGGTGAGGTTTGTGAGTATCACCCTTAAGGAGATGAAACGGTACCCTGTTACGTATGAGAAGCTGCCGGATTTTTGTTTTTTCTGTGGCTGTATGGGGCATGTGGTAGAGGAATGCGGGGACGGGGTTCATGATCCCGCCGAGTGTGAATGGAGGGATTGGCTGCATTGGAGTAGTGAACCGGCCATGGCGGGAGGTGGTGTAGGGCGTGGTAGAGGAGGGAGGTCAGCAGGCCAAGGCGTGGGGGGAGCGAGTCGGGCTGGTAGAGGTGGAGGCAGAGGCGTAGGAGGTTCAGGAGGAAGGGGCGGTTCAGAGGAAGCTCGGGCAAGAAAGGTAGATGTTGATGTTCAGTATGTGGGGGGTGGTGTGCACACCATGCCGGGAGCTCCCAATATTGGTGATGACGATGTGCGTACGGCCCGCAAGAGGCTGATGGGGGTGGACAGTGTTGTTATGGTGCGAGGGCAACCAGTGCCAAACCTTGCGGGCAAAGTCCCGAACACAGTTCTGATGTTGGAGGGGGGAGTGGTTCAGGGGCGAATAATGGGCCGGACTCGACGTCTACACCGGGCAAGGTGCCCATTGTGAAGAGAAGGAAGCAAGGGGAAGATGGGGATGATGGTGACACAACTATGACTAAAGAGGCGGCCTCCTTCGAGGGGGACCGCCGGGCCCAATGAATGTCTTAAACTGGAACTGCCGGGGAGGGGGGAATACCCGGACAGTTCATGAGTTAGCGACTATCTGTCAGTCGCATTCCCCCAGTATGGTGTTTTTGTGTGAAACAAGACATAAGGCTGAGAAAATAAAAAAGGTGTGTGGGAGGATTGGTTTGAAGGGTTTTGTTGGGGTTGACAGTAATGGTATGAGTGGTGGTCTCGCTCTTTTTTGGCATGAGAACTACGAAGTGGAGATCTTGGATAAAGAAAAACACTTTATAGATGCAGTGGTCCGTGTCCAGGAGGGGTCGGCGCAATGGAGGATCACTTGTATTTATGGTGAACCACGGGTAGAAAACAGGCACATCATGTGGTCAAAAATCGAGCAGTTAAAAGTTGTGAATGACCTACCTTGGCTTGTAGTCGGCGACTTCAACGAGGCCATGTGGGACTTTGAACATCTATCTGCTACACCGCGTGGAGAGCCACAAATGATTGCTTTTCGGGATACGTTGGAGACCTGTGGCCTAGTTGACCTTGGCTTCGTTGGTGTTCCCTTCACATATGATAATAAGAGGGGAGGAGGAGGTAATGTGAAGGTAAGGCTGGACAGGGCAGTTGCAACTAATGCGTGGAGGAACTTGTTTGCATATGCTACGGTGGTGCATGTTCCTTCGCCTTGTTCAGATCATGTGGCCCTTGTCCTAAAGGGTTCGGCCGATCCGGGGCCGCTAGGTGGAAAGCAGAGGAGGTATGAGGTGTTTTGGGAGCGTGATGAGTCACTACCTGAGGTGATAAAGGAGGCCTGGGAAGCAGTGGGGGGAGTTCATAATATGCCTCAGTTGCGGGACGCTCTGTCTAAAACAATGACAACTCTCAGGGTTTGGAGCAAAAAAATAGTAATATCACCAGAGAGATTGCCAAGTCCCGCACTCAGCTAGAGGAGTTGATGAATATGAACGCTGACCGCCAAGATATCGCAAGAGTGACGGACAAGATGAACAAGCTTTTGTACCAAGAGGAGATGCTTTGGTTACAACGATCGCGTATCACGTGGTTGAAGGAGGGGGATAGAAATACAAAATATTTTCAAAGCAAAGCAGTCTAGAGGGCGAGGAAGAACAAGATTCGAGAGTTGGCGGATAGTGTCGGTGTAGTTCACTCTGATCTTGCCTCTATGGGGGAAGTGGCTAACCGTTATTTTCATGATATTTTCACAGCTGATCCCACACTTAATGCAGCGCCTATTTTGGAACTAATTAACCCGGTGGTGACCGAGGAGGATAACACCAAGTTGTGTGCTCCTTTTACAGATAAAGAGATCTCGGATGCTTTGTTTCAAATCGGACCACTAAAAGCTCCGGGTCCGGATGGTTTCCCCGCTAGATTCTTTCAGCGGAATTGGAGCACTCTCAAGGAGGGTGTGTTGGCTGCGGTGAAGGATTTTTTCAGCACTGGTGTCATGTCGGAGGGAGTGAATTCTACATCTATTGTACTTATTCCCAAAGTTCCCAACCCGGTAAAAATCACGGACTACAGGCCCATTAGTCTGTGCAATGTTATCTATAAGGTCATCTCCAAGTGCCTAGTGAATAGGATGAGGCCTTTGCTGGATGATCTCATCTCTCCTGAGCAAAGCGCCTTTATCCCAGGAAGGATGATTACAGATAATGTACTAGTTGCATTTGAGTGTATCCATCATATCAAGCAGGAGAAGGATCCCATAAGAAGTTTCTGTGCTTACAAACTGGACCTATCAAAAGCATATGATCGAGTGGATTGGGTCTTCTTGAGGCAAATGATGCAAAAGGTGGGTTTCTCTCAGCGATGGGTTGACTGGATAATGTCGTGTGTCACATCGGTGAGATACTCTGTCAAACTTAATGGAACCCTCTTGGATTCGTTTGCGCCAACGTGTGGTCTTCGGCAAGGAGATCCGCTCTCTCCGTTTCTTTTTTTGCTTGTGGCAGATGGTCTATCAGCTCTACTAAAGAGCAAAGTGGCTACGGGTGACATCACGCCGGTGCAGGTTTCTAGACGAGGACCGGGCGTTTCACACTTATTGTTTGCTGATGATACTTTGTTGTTTTTTGAGGCTTCGAGAGAACAAGCAGATGAGGTTAAAGTGGTGTTGGATTTGTACGGGAAGGCGGCGGGCCAGTGCCTAAACCCTAACAAGTGCTCCATTCTTTTTGGTGAGGCTTGCCCCGTAGCGGTTCAGGAGGAAGTAAGGTCAGTACTTAATATCACGAGCCTTCACTTCGAGGAGAAATATTTGGGCCTGCCGACACCGGAGGGGCGGATGTCTAAAGGGCGTTTTTAGAATCTACAGACTCGGCTCACTAAACGGTTGATACAATGGGGGGATGGCCTCTTGGCGCAACCGGGGAGAGAAGTGTTGATAAAGTCGGTTGCGCAAGTGCTCCCAACTTATATTATGGGCGTCTTCAAGTTACCGTTTTCAGTTTGTGATGATCTTACACGCATGGTGCGGAATTTTTATTGGGGATCGGCAAAGGGTAAAAGAAAGGTGCACTGGAAGAATTGGGACCATCTCTTGCAGCCCAAGGACAGAGGAGGAATTGGTTTTCGCGATTTTCGGCTGTTTAACCAGGCCTTGTTGGCTAGGCAGGCGTGGAGGCTTTTAACGAAGCCAGACAGCCTGTGTGCTAGGGTCTTAAAAGCACGTTATTACCCAGATGGCAAGTTGGAAGATGCTGTTTTTGCTGGGAACGGGTCATCATCTTGGCAGGCTATATGCCATGGCCTGGAACTGTTGAAAAAGGGGCTGCTATGGAGAGCAGGGGACGGGCAAGCATAAGGGTGTGGCGGGATAGCTGGATCCCGAGACCCTTCTCATATAAGCCGATCTCTCCTCAAGGGTGTTGCCGTATTCGGTTTGTTTCTGGTCTGCTAAACACTAATGGGTCTTGGAAAGTTGAGATCCTTCGGGAATATTTTGTGGCTGCAGATGTACATGAAATAATGAAAATTCGTGCATCTCCTAGAATGGAGGGAGATGTGATCGCTTGGGGCCCTGGCAGACATGGTATTTTTACAGTTAAATCAGCTTACGAATTGGCTTTCGATGAGGCTCATCGCAATTCTGCGGTGGCGTCGAGTTCTGCGCCTTCGGGAAGCCGTGCTTGCTGGGACTTCATATGGAAGTGTGACGCCCCCCCAACGGTGAAGCACTTCGCTTGGCGCCTGTCGAATGATGCACTACCCACAAGCACCGTATTGGGCTGGAAACCACAGGTATGTGTCCGGTATGTGGAGCAGAAGAGGAGGATAACTTTCATCCATTCGTGCACTGCCAGTTTGGGCGTGATCTGTTTGTGGCCATGGCCAGAGTGTGGAGGCTCCCGGATGTCACATCAATACTTAACAACGGGAAAGAATGGCTGCTACACGTCCTGGATCCTCTTACAAACCTTGAACGAACAATGTTACTAATGATTTTCTGGAGGAGTTGGTTTGTCCGGAACGAGCTAGTTCATGCTAAGCCTGCCCCGCCTATGGAAGTCTCTCTAAGATTTCTGCAAAGCTATCTGGTGTCCTTGGTTGGTATCAAGCAGAATCCACAGGCTGACCAACCAAAGGCAAAACTTATATCGAATGGAAAAATACAGGGAGAAGGGGGAGAAGCGTTGGTGATCAGGACGAACGGAGTTGGACTACGCCCGAGCCGGGTGGTGCAAATTGAATACTGATGGATCTTTTGTTGCGTCAGAACAAGCGGGTGCGGGCATGATCTTACGTGATCATCGCGGGGCTATCAACTTCTCGTCATGCAGGGTGTTGTTTTCGTGCAGAGACTCCCTTGAGGCGGAGTTGTGCGCGTGTATGGAAGGCTTGTCCCTTGCCTTGCAGCGAAGCGAGTTGCCGATCGTGGTGGAGATGGACTCTCTCGAAGCGATCTCTCTCATATCAAGCTTGGATGCGGATCGCTCAGTTTACTCTTCTATTGTTAGAGAGATTAAGCACTTAATGGGTTTAAGGAAGACTTGTATTTCTCATATAGTTAGATCTCAAAATAAAGCTAGTGATTGCTTAGCTAAGTTTGCTAGAACCCAAGGCAGGACCTTGACTTGGTTAGGAGCTGGTCCAGATGAAGTAGTGGAAATAGCATTTTATGATTGTAAAGACGTTGTCATTGAGTAATGCAATGCTATTTCTCCCGAAAAAAAAGAAGTCCGCAGTGAAGCGCGCGCGTGCACAAACACACGCAAAAGTTTTCAGGTTAATATATACAGGAAGAAAAGGGAATCCTACGTGGCAGACAACGTGTCGTGCCATTACGTACACGCAAGCATAGAACACGTCAGGTACGAGATCTGAATACGCCCACCAAATCCACGGGCGGAAGGAGGGAACCATCCGCTCTCGGTCGTGCCGTGCGGGGTCCTGATCCCCATCGGACACCGTCGTCATCGGCCGGCTCCCAGTCCCACCTCCGTCTCCATGCGATCTCCTCGGCCGGCGCGGCTCGCTGCCGTCGCGCTTCTCCTCGCGGCGCTCGCCGCGGCCGTGGGCGCCCCCGCCGCGGCCGCGGCCAGCAGAGACGGGTACGGGCGCACGAGGAGGCTGCGCATGAGGGGCAAGGTCGTCGAGATGTGAGCGCTCCCCCCTGTCTTAGCTACCCTCTGCTCGATTTCTGTCGGGTTTAATCCGAGCTTTGGGACTGGGAAGGTTCCATTTCGTCGCGGGGATTTCTGTGTCGTACGGGGAAGATGATTTTAGCTGTCCTGTAAGCTCCGTCTTCAGACAGAAGCCCCTGTAATTCGGGTCGCAGATAAAAATGCGAACTTTGTTCGTCTTGTTCAGACGAGTGCCAACATCTCGAACTAACGCCTGTAACCAACGTTTTGGCCCATGTGGTCAATGAATCACTCCATAATCTCTCTATTTCAGTCCTGCAATAATTTTGCACCCCCCAGTCCCCAGAGCATCAGCCCATTTGATCAATGAATCACTCCATAATCTCTGTATCTCCATATTCTAGTACTGATCCATTTCCACTCATTTCAGGTTTTATCATGCTTATGACAACTACATGGCGTATGCATTTCCTGTATGTTCATCAGCTATTTTAGGAATTCTTGAGCAAAATTCAGTTCATTTGTTCATGGCCAATCTGATGTTTTCTGTGTTGATACCTTTTCAGCATGATGAATTGAAGCCTCTTACTAAAGGCTTCACTGACTCCCTCAGTGAGCTTGGCAACTTAAATGTATTAATGTATCGACAAATTTACAGTTTCCAATTGACATCACAAAAGCTTAAAGATACCCAGGCGTAATATCAACTCTCTCTTCCTTCTTGTAGCTTGAGCACTTGCCACAGGATTATAATGGATCAGCATTGACACTAGTTGAGTCATTATCAAGGTACACTTTATGAAGTTGTAATGTTTCTGGATACTTCGAGATTTGTGCTGTCTTTTGATGATAAGAATATGAATTGCTATGTTGTTTCTTCAAAAGGAAAATTGTATCCATAAGATTGATAGGTAATGCCTCTCTGTTTTGGCTCATGCAGTCTTGTTGTCTTAGGTAACCTAACAGAATTTGACAGAGGAGTTAGTTGGCTTTCAGAGAACCTAACTTTTGACGTTGATGCTCGAGTTAATCTTTTTGAGGTAATGCCATCTGATTTTTATCACCACTAGAACAAAACAATGACATGTTGCCAGGATTTAAGCAACAATCATTTTCTCACAGTTTTCCCTTCTTCATGGTTTTTTCCCCCTTCTTATCCAGTGTAACATAAGACTTCTTGGGGGGCTTATTTCTGCTCATATTCTTGCAAAGGACTATAGCAGTCAGAATAAAGATGGAGTATATCAGAACCAACTGCTACATCTTGCTGAAAATTTAGGCAGCCGGTTTCTGCCAGCATTCGAGACCCCTACTGGATTGCCGTATGCATGGATCAATCTTAAGGTTCATTTACAAACCCTTGGCCTTTCTTCTGATTTAGAAAGTAGTACACCGCTACAATCACGTTCCCGGATAAAATAAATAGTAAAAGACATGTATTGATAAATTCCATTTATTCAGCACGCCCCTTCCTTCTATGGCACAGAACAGAAGTGTCAAGCCTCCTGCGGAAACTAGATAATCATTCGACAATTATTTTGTTTCCCTTTCTGGATACCCTTGTATGATGTTACTTGTAACACTCAACTCATACATATTACATAGCTCACGTATATTACAATCCTTTTAATCATGATCTGACATGGCTGTTGAGCTTGTATTTTATTCATACATCATCTCTGATGCTATGACTACTTTTTCCAGTATGGAGTGATGGAGAATGAGACAACTGAAACGAGCACATCAGGATGTGGTGAGTGGCGGAATAGTCTTTATTCTGTTGGGTATCTTGGTAGTGGTAGCTAAGATACATAAATTTGTTGCAGGCTCCCTTATCCTGGAAATGGGTGCATTGTCACGTTTGACCGGTGATCCTAGATATGAAGCTGCAGCTCTTCGTGCTCTTCGCAAGTTATGGAGCATGAGAAGCTCACTGAATCTTGTAGGCTCAACACTAGATGTTTTGTCTGGCAACTGGATTGAATATTCGTCAGGCATTGGTGCTGGTACTACTTCTTATGCTAGCCCACTTGGTGTATCGCTTATACCAACGTCAAATTTGTAGCATAATTGTTTTTTGCCAAGTGTTTCTTTGTATATGTCGTTTAATTCTGTCTAATTAGAAGATATATGTGCTTGAGACATATTGATGATCTTTCGTAACATATTTGCAGGAGTTGATTCATTTTACGAGTATTTGATTAAGGCATATGTCCTTTTTGGAAGTGATGAGTACTGGGATATGTTTCACTCTGCTTACCTAGCAGTGCAGAAGTATTTCCGACATGGGCCATGGTACACCCTTTCTTCGTGCCATATTCATTCAAAAATTTCCATTCCATGCTAGTTACTTGTCGCCGCAATATGCTTGTACCGGACAGTAATAATCATCTGTCTTCTCAGGTACCATGAGGCCGATATCAGGACTGGAGAAGCAACACACTGGCAACTAACTAGCCTCCAGGCCTTCTGGCCTGGTGTTCAGGTCTGCTGACTCTGTACATGGTTGATATATCACCTTATTGTGGAATTTTTTATCTTGTATTGTTTGCTTACTGCTATCATCATCACCAGACACTACTAGGAGATGTTGCTGCTGCAAATCTGTCACATCGTGAATTTTACAATGTATGGCAAAGGTTTGGCGTCCTTCCTGAAAGGTATTAATAACTAAAAACTAAGTACCTCTTGACCATCAGTTTGTAAAGGAAAATGGAAATATTGAGTGACTGTTTCAAATCAATTCAGAGTATGATGCACAAGACTGACAAGAGTATGACCAAAACTTGCTTTCAGGTTTTACACTGTATTTTGTTGATGCGTGCTTTGTACTTTGCAGATATCTGTTAGACTACGGAATTTTGCATCCTACAGAGAAGTACTATCCTTTACGTCCAGAGTTTGCTGAGTCTACATTTTATCTTTATCAAGCAACTAAAGGTATGATCATGAATAACAGACAAATAATATTGTTGGCGATTTTTTTTCTTAAAATTTTAATCAAGCAGATAAAGATAATATGATGTCCAGATCACTAACACCACTGATCTCTATAGATCCTTGGTACCTAGAAGTGGGTGAAGCTATAATTGGATCACTTAATTACTACACCAAAGTGGAAGGAGGTTTTGCTAGTATCAGAGATGTTTCAACAATGAACCTTGAAGATCATCAACACAGCTTCTTTCTTTCAGAAACGTGAGCTGTTAATCTTCCTATTGTTTCTAATATGCAGTTGGAGCAAAACTGTCTCATTCGCGCTGATAGATCCCGTCACTGTTGAGATGACGGTTGATAACTCTTCTGCAGGTGCAAATATCTTTTTCTCCTTTACGACGATTCATTCTTGAGGAACAAAAATTACATATTTACAACAGAGGGCCACCCCCTTCCAGTAATGAGCACGTGGCACGAGAAAATTCCTCGACTGGATGTTCCCACCAATTGGACAGTTGTTAAGGTGATCCCATACCAGCTTACATCAGAACGCAAGTTAGGAAACCATATGATGCCCTAGCTCCTATTTGTAGGAGCATTAATCTTACTTTGTACTGTCATCGTAATGATATCGAGAACCTCTCTGCAGGACGGCAACCAACCGATTCGTGCGAGCGCATTGTCATCCAAAGTCTGTCCAGAGACAATTTTCCGGCAGAACGTTGGCTCCCCGTGGGAGAGTGCGTGCCACATACCAGATGTGTTCCCTAGCCACAGATGCAGAGCCGACGATGACTGTGGGATAGAGTCAGTAACATGCAAGAGGAGAACATGCAGTATGGCTGGATACTGCGGCTTGTGGCTGGCGGTTTACTAGCCAATGTTGTTGGAGAGGATTATACTTTCGCCATTCGTTCACAGAATGATCAAAATAAGGTAAACACCACCTTGAAAATAGAATGTTACCCACCCGCTTCAGCCTGACTTTGTACATTAGAATAGCATCGATAGCAGATTCGTGACGTCTGAATCAGCCAAATTAACCTGTATGTCAAATGCTGGTTTGAAGTTTCATGCTGATGTGATGTATCTGCGGTCCGATATATGGGTGTATTTTATTGTGCGATATATGTAATTACTGTCTGATCTGATTATTTTAGCACATGTGGGCATGCAAAAAAAGAACATACTAGAGACATTGTACATTCTGGTTAATTTGTTCGGACATAATAATTAAGTTCAGTCTTTTGTTTGTTGTGAGTTGCAAATTGATCGTGATTGCACTGCTGTACAGTTTGATAGGACCATGGAGCCGTGGCTCCAGGCTCTAGCCTTCCCTGCCATCAGATTTCTACTGTAGATTCACACCAATAATCAGTGTAGCTGCAAAGTCAAATGTCAGATTGCAGGGCAGGAACAAAAAAAAGTTAATCCTTACTTTGATCTATACAAGACCACTTAGTCTTGTATTGGTATTGTAGATGTTCATAATTTCCTGCTTGATCAAACTTAAAACGGCTTGATTTAAGATAACACCAAATAGCACGCACAGTGATTCCCGCGCTTGGAAGAATCTGCTGCACATTATGTATGTAGGGTCGTAAAAAAATCATGTGTAAATTTTCGATGCCACGCATCTCTGAAACTGAAGTTGCATTGTTTTGCCAAAAAGATCGAGGTGGAGAATGCCGACTTATAAATAAGTAGTACTCCCTCCGTTCGGAATTACTTGTCTCGGAAATGGATGTATCTAGAATTAAAATACATCTAGATACATCCATTTTTGCGACAACTAATTCCGAACGGAGGGAGTATGTCAGAGTTATAGGAATAGACGATACACTTCCTAATTTCCTGTGGAAAAAAAGCTACTGCCATGTATATGTTTTTTTTAATATATAAAAGGGTTTCCCCCAGCTTCATTGATGGAACTCACAGAACACTACACAAGTTCAGCAGTTCCTCATCCTGATCTCAGGACCGAAACATGCAGCCGATCAAAGACTCCACGCGGAGTCATTGGTAACAGAAATTGTTCACCTGCTATTCTTCGACAATGTTGGTGCCCAACCATGAGATCGCCAGAAGACCCCCCGCGCGCCTTTCTTCACAAGTTCATCCACTCGGTGCATCGCCTTTTGCACCTTTGGTGTCTGCAAATCGCTCCGGTAGGTGAGCCAAGCGACAAACATGGTAAATAATCCCATGGGGATCAGCGGGAAGTCTGTTCTCAAAACAAGCCTCATTTTCGAGTCTTCCACCAAGTCCGGCACAAAGCAATCAAAAAAAGACTTTGGCTGTCCCTTTTTCCGGACCATAAAAGTGAGATTCGACCACTCTCCAACCAGGGCCAGTTGTTTCAGGTGGACTAGGTAGATCAAAGCCCAAGCTACATTGGAAAACACCCCACACAAATGTGGCAAAAGGGAGATATAGCAAGAGAAAGGAAATAAGTAGCCTCCCCGTGGTCGATCGCGGCGGCGCTATAAAGAGCAGGCGAGGGTAGCTGGAGCTTCCGGACCTGGCATGGCTTCTAGACCAACAACCGCGCGGCGCAGGGTCCCTCCCTCCTCGCGCGCGCCCCCAATCGAACGGTACGTACGGCGCAAGCAACCAACTCAACCGCGCCCTGCCAGTCGTCCACGCACGGCCCTTTCCCGCGTCCGATCGCTCGATCGCTCGCGCCGCATGGTCGTCGACGTCATTCACACCCTAGGAGAAGCCCTTTTTTGCTCACTCGCGCGCGCACAATAACGCACGGCCCGGCGTTGGTTGCAGCGTGCGCCGTGCATGCGAATTGAACGCACCGCCTTTTCCCAGCTTAGCTCCCACCCCGCGGCGCGCCAGCGGGCGGGCTCCTCGTAGCCTTTACGCCACGCCCCTATAAAAGCCCGGCGCGGCGAGCGATCAACATCACAACGAAAGCAACAGCCAGCAAGCTCACTTGGCTACCAGCCTACCACTAGTCGCGGTCGCAGCTTAGCCACTCGTTGACATGGCCAGCAAGTCGGCCTCCCTGCTGATCCTCGCGGCGCTGGTGGCGGCCGCGGCGTGCGCGGGCTCGGCAACGGCGCGCGGCGTCCCGGTGGCCGCGAAGGAGGACGCGGTGAAGCGGCCGGAGACGTTCCAGGAGGGGACGGTGCTGATCCCGGGGATCGGGCGGTACGAGCTGGGCACCCACTACAGGCCGGACATCGGCGGGCTGGACCACAGCATCCCGGCCGCCGCCAGGGCGCAGTTCATCCCCGGCGCCGACGACACCTGGGTGCCCAACCCCGGGTTCGAGGTGCCCAACCCCTTCCGCCCCGCAGCCACCACGGAGTCCCCCTGATGAATGGATCGAACTCGTCCACGTTACGCCCATCGGTCGATGGGTAGCTAGCCTGCTACAATTCAATTTCCGCTAGCTTTTGGTTGCTATAATAAAACTAGCTGCTATACATAGGCAAGGCATGAGTATGCGTGTATCAGCGACTGCGTGCGAGCGCGCTGTCGACGTTTTGTGTGTGATTGGAGAGTGTACCTGTATGGGGTATGCATGGATGCGTAGGAAGGAAGCATCCGTTGCATATCTCGCTTTGCTTTGTTGTTGCCAATAATGTGTTTCAGTTCAATGTATTTTTCTTTTTAGTTCGATAAATTAATGATGAAGTACTATGCATGATGAAGCTTGCTATGTTAACCACACACAAAAAACTTAGATGAAAGAAGACCCATTGTTCGGTCTAATCACAGTGAAAATCTGAATTTGATCCTTGGTTAGAAGGGATGTTGTTTTCAGTGATCTAGGCAAAGGCTCTGGCTTAAGTTGTGTCGCCCTGCTAACGGCTTTCCTAGGCGTCTAATGTTCTAGATGGATTAGTTGACACTCACTTTTTAGATTTTAGATTTTTATTGCTCAGTACTTCATATGTTAAACCGAGTCCTAAGACACAAAAGGAAAACGAAAGTGTAAAGTATCAAAAAAAAGTCAGAACGGACAACAACCCACACGCGTCCTTGAGAAAGCCACCGCCTACCCCAGCAACTGGCACGCAACGCCAACAAAACAGAGCTGAATTTAACGCGTGAGGTGAACTTAGACACGATTGATGACCAAGTTTCACGTAGCAATTAGTAATGTGACCTCACAGAGCAATTCAAGCGCACATGGGCGCACCATAACACAGCCGCTTAGTGGCATACCATTTGTAAACGAGTCGGGCAGCATATATTTGCTTACTTGACGGCTTACAAGTCACGCAATGCTTTACTCCGGCAGCAAAGCTTGTTCAGTAGTTCATGGCAAAAAGTAGTCTACGTAGTTGGGCAAAAGATGCAACTACAAGTTTCCAGCGACGACACCAATTTTTTTCCACCTCACTATGGCTGACCACCTCGCCGGGAACGTCCACGTCCGCGCCCGGTTTCTCGAGAACGACCCCTGGAAGAGGAAGGCTGTGGAGTGCTCGTCCGTACAAGTCTGTTTTGTCTGTTTGTTCTGTTTTGTATTGCCCTCTCCGTCAAGTTGATTGTTCTTCCCACACTCTCTGCTGCGGTACCGGGATTCTGTTGTTCAGAAGATGCGCCAGCAATGGCTGGGTTTGAAGGGGAAGGTTCACGTACAGGGGATGCATCTGTGGTTCTGCTTGGTGATGCATCCGCTCCGCCTGACTGTGCTAGAGGGCTTTGGTCTGGCTCCACCTCAGCAAGTTCAGCAGTACCGTCACTTTCTACAATCTCCTCTGACATGTCTGCGTCGCTCTTTGCTGCTGCCCCACTTGGAGATGCTGCCCTGAAAGCATCACCTGCTTGCTCACCAATATCCAGGGGACTGCTATCTGATTGTTGTTCAGGTTCATCCGGCAACTCCCCCTCCTCCTTCTCATCCTCAGCATCGGTGGCTGTAGTAATCTGGCCCTCTTCCTTCGCATCCTCGAGTTTCTGGTCTTCATCAAACGATTCCACTACTGCCTCTGACTTAAGCGGCACATCTTCCACAGCAGTTGCATCACTGTCCATATTAACTTCAGCATCCTGGCCTTCGATGTCCATTAATGCACCTGTATATTCTTCCATGTCATCATTGTTACCCGCTTCGTCATCCTTGATGTCCTCAACCTCTTCAACTGGCATGGAAGCCTGATCCGTGTTCATCTCTTCTCCAGGCTGTTGTTGCACATCTTGGTTGTCTATCGAGATAACCACAGGAGCCTCAGTCGTTACATCTTCAGGGGCCGATTGATCAGTTTTTAACTCACTGGAACTCTGAACAGAATCCTCTTTAGGTTTCTTTGATGGAGGATTGGCATCATTAGCCTCTCCATGTGATGCATCATCTCTCATCTGCGATGATGGCACGAGACGTTTGCGACCAGAAGGCAATACAGACACACTGCCAGAAGTTTCACGCTCCAGTGATGGGCCACCTTTTTCCTGAACTACTGTGGAACCTCGTTCTGTCGATGTGCCACCTTTCTCCTGTACTGCAGAAACATCGACAACTGGTGTAGCCGCATCAGCCTGGGGCTCTTCAATTCGTTCAAGACTAGGCCGAACGAGCACCCTTCTTGATCTGCGTTGTTCAGTACTTGGCTTGGGCAAAGAAGAAACTGCTTTCTCCTCCATCACTTTAACTTGAGCAGGCCTTGGCGGAGTAGCTACCTGCCGCCCTGAGGAAAAAGAAGATGGATTATTAACTCCCATACTTTAAGGATGTGTAACAAAGTAGAAACAACCCCATTGTCAACTACGATTAAGTTGCAACCCTATGCCACCAAGTAACATGCCTGGTAAGTTCAGTATAATATTGCATTTCAAAACAATGTCTAATACTAACTTTTGCGATAAATAACCATTAATTTCAGGCTATTTATCAAATGCATGCGCCTAATCGATTCTATGATCTTGCCACATTTATTTCAACTACTTAATATCCCATCCTCGGAAGAATAGAAAGAATGAAGAGGGGAGCACCTGTCGCAGCTGCATCGACAGTGGGAGTTTCAATAGGTGGTGTCTGGCTAGTTGAACCATCTTGGAACAGGCTAGGAGACTCCTCCATTTTTTTAGCCGCAAGGAAATATGAACGGAACTGCTCCTCTACTGCTGATCCAGAAGGGATTTGAGATGATTGTCCAGAATAATGCTGCAGAAAATGCACATCGACTTTCAATTATGATCATAGAAGATAATTAAGGATAAATGTGTTAGGTCCCTAAAATGAGCAGAGCTCCGTACTTAAAGTATATATACTGTGAATTCCATACCCAACAGGAAAATAAATGGATATTTAAGAGATAAACCATACCTCAATCACCTCCTTCACAGCCTGCCGGTGCTTCTCAATCGATTCCTCTATTTGCTTCTTCTCCTGTAAACGATATTTGAAAAAATCAATTGGATGACAGTTAAAAAAACACCCTTTTGGTAAGAACTTACGAAGGCAAAACATATCAAGCCTTAAAAAAATGTCCACTGATTTATAAACATTGAAGATTCTTTAGACTTTTCTTAATATATGCCTTTATATTTTAGATAAAAATTAAAAGCATAAAAAAATAGTTATAACAATGCTACATTACATGACTGGCTGACGTTTGTTTATCATGTGTAAACTGACAATGTGCCAAAGCACTACGAATGGGAAAATCCATCGAGAATGAGCACGAGGAAGATATGTACCTTTGATAGATTTTGAACAGCGACGTAGAAAACGTTCTCAGCCTTTCTGCGGTTTGCCTTTTCTTTCTTGAGATCATCTCTCTCCTTCTCCAAGATTTTTTCCAGTGTCTGTTAATACATTCGAGTTAGAAGCAGGAAGAAATGTTTTAATGCCATTTAAGCTCAACATGCTAACCTGTATCCTGATGTCTTTCTCTTTTACGGCCTGAACATTTGATGTTTCCATCGGCATTTTCTGACCTGCTCATCAGATTTAGAACTAGAAAAATTGCAGATATCAATTGACATGAAAGAGAAAGAACGTCAAATTACTTGATTTAGGATCTTCAATCTGCTTCAAAAGGCTTTTATTTTCTTTTATAAGATCTGCCTTCTCTCGCATTAACACTTCAACCTTTTTCTGCATCATTAAATAGGGTCACATAATAACACATGAAAATGGCACTGAACTCTTGACCTTGCAACAGAAAAAAAGGAGATCCTAACCTTGTAGGTGAAGGTAATCTTCTTCTGTCTATCAATTTCAGATTTCAGGCTAGCCTATGGAACAGAATGGTATATTAATACAGCTGAGAATATGAAGTCATAATATTGGTATCACAAGGATTAATAAATTCAAACCTCAACATCATTCAGCTTCTTTTCCCTAGCTCCCAATTCAGACTGACAGCCAGCAAGCTTCTCATCTAAATTTCTTATGGCAACGTCCCTCTCGGAAAGAAGATTCTTTGCACGCTCAAGCTCAACTGAATTCTCTCTCAAGGTTGACTGTTAGGCACAAGAAATAAACAATAGAAGTCAGTTGACACTACACTTAGATAGCATGTCAATCAATAGAAGTCTCCTTGACACTACACTTAGATGGCATGGCTCTGGATTACATGGCTAAGGTGTGTACTCGTACTCTAGAAAGAAGACACTGCACATGGATGGCAAAACACTTATATCCACAAGAAAATAAAAGATTTTTAAAATTTATGCCAGTAGTCCAAAAGAGTATCATTACTACTTTCTGAACTGAAATGGGGTTTTGCACATATGATACAACACTACCAATCGCGTGCAGCTTAAGGAAAAAAGGGCGGGCTGCTATGCTCTCCCAAAATAGAAAAATAGTATCATTTCAAGTACTTGTGAAGGAAATGTCAAGGGAGACATATGTTTTTTAAAAGAAAGTTTTAAAAGTGATATCTCAGAATTATGGCACTACAGAGAAAATAAAACCACTGACTTTGATATTTTGAAGTTCACCCTTCATGGTCTCATATGTGTTCAAATCGACACCTCTACTGTTTTCAACCAACTGCAGAAGACAGTAAAAGTTCAGAACATAACTGCAACTTCAGAAGAGTCGAACTATAAATATCTGATATACTGGTGTCAATAATGTTAGGGCATGAAGAAAACATTAACTTAGACCATCTGAATGAAGAAATACAATACAGCACAAATTGAGCACCTCATCACTGTTTCCCTTTCTTCCAATACCTATCCTTTTCTGTGCCACACAGCAAGCCACTAAATCAATCAACTCCCACCGCTTATAACACCACCTATGACAGCAAAATTGAAAGCACACATTTTTCACTGCTGAATACGCTCCCATTATTCCCTTGGTAAGACTGCCCCCATAACTTCCCATAATACACAGTTTAATGTTGCCTGCAG